AGCCCTTAAGCAAAAGTGAAAAAGAGCTCAAAATAAGGCCACTTTCAGTTAGGGCCGGAGCTCAAAACAGTAGGCATATATGGCTAAGAAATGTTGCAAAAATAAGCTCAAAAGGAGGGGATTGATACTCACCCTTGAAGACCAATGCTTTTGTTGCTTCTTGGACCAATTTTGATGACTCTAAGATGCTGGAATTCTTCCCCTTTCTGCTGGAATGGAGTGGTGGTGGTAGAGAAGAGGGTTCGGAAATCTGAAAAACCGAAAAATCGGTTTTGGCTCCATTTTCTTCATCATCATCAAGCTCTCAGTGGCCGTGGTCCGGTTTTTCGGGACCATTTGGCTCCATTTCCCCGTAGCCCACGGCCACTGAGAGATGGTCTACGGGACCTCTCCCTCCCCTCAGGAAAAGAAACAGAGAAAACCGAGTCTGGTTCGCAAACCGAGGCAAGGCACAGAAGAGGGTTCGGAAATCCGGAGGCAGGGCTCACGGCCGCGACTCTGAGACTTCTGAACGAGCGCGATATGCAACATCACCAAGCGCTCAATTGGTGACGTCTGAGTCTTAAGGTCGGTCAAAAATGGGGTGTCTACACCATGTGTCAAAATCAACAAATTCAACACCACACATCCTCATATCTATACCCATAACCATTTTCAATACCTTCATTTGAAAACCCCTCTTTTAATTTTAAACCAAAACCCTAGGTTTGTCTAAAATCCCCCAAATCCCAACATTTCTTACACAATCAACCAATAACTAAGTTAATAATCATAGGATAGTATAAAAAGTCCCTACCTCAAATTTAGAAGACGAGCAAGCAAAGAGAAAACCTCAAAGACGCCGAAACCGACTTTTGTTCAAATCAAAATGAAGCTCTTGAGATGATCTACATTTTTCCCAAAGACATTAGGGTTGAGAAACCAACGGACCTAGGTGAAAATGTAGAGAGAATGTGAGTTCTAGAGAGAGAAGCTCAAGATCCAGGGTTTTGAAATGTTTTAGAGAGAGAAAGAGATGAAAAAGTGATAAAAAAAAATATGGATGTTACGAACTGATATACGCACAGTCCGCTTGAGCGCAAGAATTGACGCTAGAGTATCAGACACAATAAGTTGTTCCGCTCGATCGCAAGAAGTGACGCTCAAGCGCAGAATGCACACTCTCAGTAGTTTTGCAGACAACAGATGAACGCTCGAGCTGAGCCCACTCGAGGTTAGGAAGATCCGCTCGAGCGTAGAATACACTCTCCCAGTAGTTTTGTAGACCTGTAAAATACTGAGAGTTCACAAAACCCACTCGAACGCAAGAAGTACCGCTCGAGCGGAGGAGCAGAATTCTAGGCAACAAGTTTGGAAACCAAGCAACCAACCTGTCCCAAACGCAACCACAACAATCCTAAAGCCAAATTTAAGGAGATACAAGGGAAGTAAGATATAAACAATAACATGAGACCAAGATACCCAAGTCCAAGATGCAAAAAGGTCGAAATAAAACCAGAATCGCTATAGATATGATAAAAATTGAGAATGGAAGTTAGTATGCAGGTTGTTTGGTGTATGGATATTAGATTTTTTTACTTACTTCATAGTTGCTACTTCCAATTGGTTTATTCACAGGTTGCATTTTATAAGCTACTGTTTGCATACTATTAGGCAAGGTTATATTCATGTGTATATGTATATATATATATATATTATATTTTTAAAATAACCTTCTACGGCATATAAAATTATGTCATAAAAAGTGTAATGATTTATAACATATAAGAAAATGTCGTAAAAGATTATATACGACATACAAAGTATGTCATAAATATATTTAAAATGACCTTCTACGACATACAAAATTATGTGGTAAAAAGTGTGATGATTTATGAAATGCAAGAAAATGCCGTAAAATATTACATACGGCATACAAAGTATGTCATAAATATATTCAAAATAACCTTCTACGATATGTAAAATTATGCCATGGAAAATATGATGATTTATGGCATAGCAAAAATGTCATAAAAAATTATATACGACATACAAAGTATGTCATTAATGTTTAATTTATTACTTTTTACAACTTTACCTGCATGTAGTAAATAATACTCAACTTTCCACAGCATGTCATATAACGGCATTCGTGTGCATGCCGTGAAAGAGTTTTTACGACATATATTGCAAGCCATAAAAATTTAATTTTGTTGTAGTGCCCACTCCGTTAATTTAGCATAAATGGCATTAATTGACTATCCAAAATGATCCTATTATCCCCTTTGAATTGAGCAAGAAGATGAAAATTATCAAAATAACCAATAAGCTATTTAAATAAAAAATTTCACGCACCTCTCCTGAGCTTTTGCATATATATTATTAAAGACACATACATATTTTAACATAATATGTTAATAATTTAATATAAGACCCTAATAGTATAATACATATAACACTTATTTCACACTATATAAACAATAAAAAATTTATCAATTTTAATTAATGCATTTATTATTTAAATTTCTTTTTTCTTTTCTCTTTTTAAATTGAAACAAATGGATTTTTTTTTTCCACTAATTTGTCCTACTCATTTATTTATATGTAAAAAAAACTTATTTATTTCCAAATTGCTAAGACATTATTAAAAAATTTAATAAAAAAAACTTAATTTTTATTGATAAAATATTTTAAAATAAATTTTAGCACTGATTCATTTTTATTTTTTTTTTAAATTCACACTAAATTTTATTTTCCCTTAATAGTTGTTTATGGGATATATTGTTGCACCTTTACATTAACCATATTACTATTTCTATCCAAATTTTCACTATTTTTGCAGGGTAATTTATTTCTTGTTTGCACCAAAATGGCAGTGTATTAACAGAGGCATCTGGGAGAAAAGTTTTAAAACTGATCAATTCCAATTTTTTTTCTTCTAAAATTAATGTTAGATAACATTCTAATAATTTATTATAAGACTTATTTTACACTACATAAATAACGTAAACTTTATTATTTTAAGTAATGCATTTATTATTTAATTTTTCTTAAATTTGAAATAAATGCATTTATTTTTTTCTCAACAATTTGCATTATATGTAAAAAAAAATATTATTTTATCTTTTCTCGATGTTATTCTCAAATTTTAAATTTTATCTTCGCTCCACTAAACTTCTAATGGATGCATATTTAAAAATAAATAATAAATAAATAAATAAGAAGAAGAAGAAGCCAAAGCTACATATCATACATCATGAAAGAAAGCTGTCATATATCATAACACAAATTTTACCCCTTTTTTTGGGTCACTTTTCATATGAATCTAAACAATAAATGCTATTTTTGCTTGTAGATTCAATCTATTAAATATATATGAAATTATTATTTATTTTTCATAATTTTTTCAAAATATAAATGTAATTTCTTGACTCTATTTTTTTTCCCACCAGTTTTTGAACTTTTATAGAAAAAATAAAATAAAATTTAACCATTAATGAAGGTAAGAAATTAATTCTAAGATTTCGTGATCCTTTATTAACTAATTTTAATTTATTGTGAGGTGATTATATTTTTTTTCTTCTATATTTATATTTTAATTTTTTTGATCATGTAATAATATTAGCCTATGTTTTTTTAAATATGCATCGACTAGAAGTTTAATTATCCAAAGATAACAATTAAAATTTGAGAATAATATATGATTGAGAAAAGATAACATATGAATAAATAAGTAATGCAAATTGTCCGAAAAAAATAAATCCATTTATTTCAACTTTTTTTAAAAATTCAAATAATAAATGTATCACTTGAAATGATAAATTTTACGTTGTTTATGTAATGTGGAATAAGTCTTATATCAAATTATTATTATTATGTTATCTAATATTAATTTTAGAGAGATTATTTATTTTTAAATATTTTATCAATAAAAACTAATTTTTTTTATGAAATGATTTGATAATATTTAACAATTTAAGAGTTTTATTTAGTATTGCATGAATTTTAAGAATTTTATTAAACAAAGTTAAAATATATATGGGTCTTTGATAATATTTATGTAAACCTTAGGGGAGGTGAGTGAAATTACTCATTTGAATAGAAAGATTATGTCATTAGTGATATGACATCAGCGTGATGTCAGCGTGACGTCAGCAAATTATGTTAAAGTGGAGAAATTTTGATAATAGTTTCAAAAGTAAGAGAGATTAGTGTAATTATTAAAATTACAGGAGAGGTCCTTGTAATTGTCAAAAATCTCAGAGGAGGTAAATGTAATTTATTTTAATAAGTATAATAAATTATTAATCTCAATTAATTAACCATATTATCGCTATAACCTAAGTTAGTATACTCTTTTTATATATAAAAATGGTTTAAATTTGAAAGATACTAAACCGATTAAATCGTACCAAACCGAACCATTTCAATTGATGTAGTTTAGTGCGGTTTCATGGGTGAAGCGGTCTGTATCGGTACTCAAAATAATAAAATCGACATTATTAGTTCAATGGAAAATTTTACCTAAATACCGACCATACTGAACCGGCTACATCCCTAGTAAAAGGAAGGCACACATATTGTATGTTTAATTAAATATATATATATATATATATATTAAAAAATAAGCAATTTTAATTTGGGGTGTTCATGACCTAATTAATTCGTCAAAACCAACCGACCCAACTCAATCTATTCATTTTTAAGCGGTTTTAATAGTATGAGTGGATAGATATGGAAGGAGATTTTTCAAATTCGTCTATGTTCAGACGGATGACGAATGAGAGATCACCTACCCCAAATTGATCTGCCAACTCCCCTTAAAAAATGATGTTATATTTTTATAATTTGTATGTTTAAAAAATGATTAGCTACTTAAAGATAAATATGCAACAACAAAAGTAAAATATGGATATACCAATCTCCTAGCTACCAAAGCAACCACGCTTTCAAGCATATGCTTATGAAAACAGCAAGACTACCAACTCAGAAAAAAAATTTCCAAAATTATCAATGTAAGGTCAAAATTTATTTTATATATAAACCTCACAATATAACAATTAACTTTTCTATCTCTTTTTCTGGGACAGTAGAGTTACTCGGTTATGGGAGTTCAATATCAAAACATGTCTTGTAGTTCAATATCATAACATGTCTTGTAATTGTTTTCCAAGTCTGAGTCAAACATGTCATCATTTATGTTGGTCATGTGGCCTAACAAGCTCTCAGTCTCTTCAGGCTGTTCTTGAGCGTGGAAGGTCTCTTGCAATCTCATATGACCAAGGAGTTGATCAGCAACCTCCTTCATTGTAGGTCGTTCAATGCCACTCCTATTGAGACATCTCACAGCAAGCTCAGCCACCGCTTCAATTTGCTCACCTTCCCGTACGTTACTAACCTCATAGTTATTCAAAACCTGTGAGAATTTTTTCTGTTCCACCGAGGTAATGAAATACTGAATGATGTTAGTGTTCCTATTTTCATCAGAATTTGGGTTTGGCTTTGGAAACCATCCGGTTAAGAGTTCCATAAGTACAACCCCGAAACTATAAACATCGCTCTTTACAGTAAGAACACTAGTAATTAGGTACTCCGGATCTAAGTAGCCAAGAGTTCCTTGTACTTTTGTCGCAACAAAACTTTGACCAGGCGGAATCAATACAGAAGACCCAAAATCAGAAACTTTGACAGTGTGGTTTTCATCCAATAGAATGTTGGTGGACTTGACATCTCTGTGAATGATTGGTGGGACAGCAAGCGAGTGTAGATAGTCCAAGGCCATGGCAGTTTCTGCACCAATCCTTAATCGGTTTGACCATAATTTTAAAAATTCCGAGTGCACGATATGGAGATGCTTGAATAGTGTTCCATTAGAGACTGAAAAATCTAGAAATCCCCTAGATGTTGATTTGTGATTATGTATCAATTTTAAGCAGAATATAACAATCCCAATCAAACAATCAAACAATCAAGACAAAGAGACACAACGATTTAACGTGGAAAAAACCACAATTGGACACCCCCAACTGTAATCAAAAACCCACGAAGTGCTTGATGCAACTGTGGTACCAATATTATTTCATTTTTTTTTTTGTATTATAATTTGCATTCACATCAATTTATTAAGACATGCTTTATATTTTTAGAAAAAGGTTCAAGAACTTCATAAGATTTCTACTGATGAGGGTCCAAAATCTATAAAAGATGATGCGATTTTTCATACTTTTGGTCCCGAGCGCCATGGGAGTGTATGAGGGCTGGGGTTTGGGGCATTACCATCTAAGGTTGATGCACAAGTACACCAAAATGAGCACGTGAGAAAACTTGAAGGCAACGTTGTAGACTTAGAACAACAACTTGATGAGATAAGAGCCATGCTTATCAAAGAAAGAAGGCAAAATGATGTAAGAGGAAAAGCTAAACATGATAATATAATGTTTGATGATTTAATTCAAGTAAATTTTGATTCAAATCATTTGTTATTTTATATTTAAATCAGTTGCATGTTTGTCTTTGAATGTAGGGCACCAATCCCTCCCAAAGAAGCTCCGATCTACTCCAATCTACTCCTCATGACAACCTTCCAACTTCAGTGAGTGAAAATAGTATTTTCAGAACATTTTTATCTACTCTTCATGTCTTTAATTATTGGAATTATGTAGTAGCTATATGCTTAATGAAGTGTTTTTATGGTTTTTTAGGTGAATGAAGTTGGTTCTGTTACTGAAAGCATTGAAGCTATGAAAATATCTAAACCTGCTAATTCTTCAATTGCAAACCTTCCAACTAGTTTAAATACAGCAAGTTATGCCCTTTTTAAAAGTCTCAATTGTTATGATATGGTAATTAGTTATGATAAGGTGATTGGTTTAGAGACGTCTTAACTTCTTAAATTAATATCTTTATGTATCATGGATGTAATAATTATTGAAAGAGGAAAGCAAGAAATGGTAAATACCATGATAACACATTGGACAATGGTAGAAAGAATAAGAATAATACCCTTCAACACACATTGGACAAAACCTTTTGAATTGTTTGTTGAACAAATGATAGGACTTGAATGCCTAATTTCTTAACCTGCCACCCGTTCTTTGGACCATCTCTCATTGTTAATGTGCTACAAGTATTTTGGGGATTTAAGATTCATGTGTCAAATTATCTGAATGGCGTCATGTTTCTGAACTCTGTTTTGGTGTGGTTCTTCTATGTTGTTTTGCTATTGTTGGCTTTGGTCATCTCAAGTGGATATCGAAGCAACCATATTTGGCCATGTGCTAATTGTGATGCTTAAATATGATGTGTAATTGTGTACTTTAAGTCTGTAGCCTCAATGGATGATAGTGTGTGTTGGATCTAAAAATTGGAGCTTGGTTCATTCTGGGTTTTGATGATTGTTTATTAATTGCCTTTTATCATCTGAATCTCATCAATCCTTCTACAATTGGGCTTCTTTTAAGTTCCAAATTTCAAAATTTAGTTTGTGTTAAACAATAGCATGCCACATTTTGATTACAAAATTAACTTCTCCAAGTGCTATGGTTATTTTTTTTTAGTTGTGTTTCTGATATTTAAAAAAAAATTATATATATTTTTTTTGAAACTTTTTTTTTTTTTTTATGTTTGTAGAAAACCATTCCAATGTTTTTTGTCATATCCTTTATGATTATACCTCTTAACTTTTTCAATGTTTCGAACCGTCATTACTTATTTAACGAAAATGGCATGGCTCAAGTATTATTTTGTACTTTGCTGGCATTTAATTGTTTTTATTCTTAATTGAACTCCTTTTTGATATGCTAAATGAAGATTTTACAAGGTTTATTCACATCAAATGATACTTGAATCCATTTTTTTCCGTTGTTTTAATTGTTGCCACTCCTACTTCAAATGCATTTCGTTTCATCTACATTTGGAGTTATACTGGATGTCTTTGTTTTTTTGGTCATTATGTTTCAAAAGGAGGTGTCATATTTTGATATTCAGATTTTATAAATCTTATTCTAATATGGGATGAATGTTATGTAGCATACTTATATACTCTTAATTTTTGTAGGATCAAAGTAATGGTGTGTCGAGCTTAGAGAATGTCAAATGCAAGTTGTTGCATTGGGAGGGGACAAACTTGGTGGTTGCAAAAGGCCAAATTGCATCAAAGGATCCCAAGTCAAAAGTACATCATGTGACCCGTGGACCTATGTGTTGGAAAGTATGGATGAACCACGTAACAGTTAACGTGCCGTTGTTTCGTTCTACTCATGCAATGTATGATCTTCAAGATGCAATAGGAAGTACAGTTGCATCACCTAGTCAATTCATTCTTTTGGACTAAATATTAGACTAATTGATTTATGATTTGTAATTATGCTTTTTGGATATTTAAAGTCGTATTTTAGAGATTAGTGAATCTTATGATTTGAATACTTTTCTTGGTTTGTATGTTTGAGGTTGTTAACAGCTTGATATTGTAACGCCCCAAAATAAATACGATAGACTCAACTCATAAGCGGAAGTATAATTGAAACCACATGCTTTCATTAATCAGAGTTTAACTTACAAAAGGTGACACATGCAATATAGATTCATAAATAACCCATCCTGAATCTACAACATGTGTTACAAGTAGTAGATTGAATAAAAGCTAAACAAATATTCATATGCCCTAAAGGCTTACATCTTTCCAAGATCGTGCTTGGTTACAACAAAATGAGTCATAAACTAAGTACAAATAAAGTCCTAGGCTTGTACAAAAGGTATATGCAAAATAAACAAAAGTGAGCCTTCAGTTCCACAATCCTCCCAAGCTAAGTCTTTGGCAGAGGCATATCACCAGCACCTGAAAGATGGTTTTTCCCAAGTATGGTAAGCCAAAGCCCAGTAGAAACAATCTAGCACAATATATGAATCTTAACAAAGATATAAGTATGATATGCATATACAATGACCATGGTAAACTCATTCGTATTCTTACAAGATCATAATATGCCAAGTGTCACAGCTCTATCCGTTTTATCTTAATTCATTTCATGGCAATTCATTTCGCCTCAATTCATGAGTCAAATCCATTGTTATCCAAACAACCCAACTGAGGCTATAACTCAGTGGTTCTCTAATCAATATAACCATTACACAAACACTTCAATTTTCCATTCTATGAAAACTTCGTCCGCGAGAATCAGCACCCATGTATACGCGTAGTTTTCGGAACTTTCATCCTAGACACATAGGCCAACTTAATTCAATGGAGTCCATCCCCTTTCTTCTCCCAAACATGGAATACATCCTCTTTCTCCTCTCAAAATCATACATATGCAATGTATTAAAACACGGTCATGTTCAATAACAACAGTTAAGAGATTAATTTTAATTCACCTAATCCTTATGCAATTTCTACAATAATCATAGCTATCCTCCACTGATAATCCAAAACAGATATTTCTAAATAGATATACAATCTCCAAGAAAAATAAATATGGAGAAGTGATTTGGAAATACTCTCTGGATCCTGTAGGACGCTCTTGATCCTCAGCTAGTCACCTGAAAATGAATGAACACTCCGGTCGGGGGTGCCAGAATTAGCACTCTGACAGATAAGTCAGTGTATACTCTCTTGGTTGCTTGTACCTTAAGTTAATCTTACTTGTTCTCACATACCTTTCTTTGACTGATGCTCCTCTATTTATATTTTTCCTTTGGGCCTCAGGGTCGGGCCCATCCTCAATCCATTGCACATTTATTTATTCTGCTTTTGTTCAACTGGTTCTTCAGCCGATTAGTCTATTCGGCCTTGCGATCGTCCAAGATGGAGCCAAATACAAATTCCGTCCTTGACTGTCCTCATAGCGTCATTCGGCTTTATTGCACGTATACCAACAATATCCAACTCCCACAATTGCCCCCCAAACATCCTATTAATGCCAGTTATTCGGCATGTTTGGTTTCAAACGACGTGTTTGGTTTCGAACTTCAAAAGACAAGGAAAGAACGACAGTTAACCCCATTCCAACGCATGTCAGAACACACGCTTTTTAGGCATCATTACATCTTCCTGCCTCTTCGTGCGCATTCTTCATTTAATGTGATTTGAAACTATGTTGTCCCTTCAAATGTAAGTTTTTTGAATACTAAAAGCTTATGGTTTGCCTTTCGATATACCTCCATTTTGCAACCTCTGCAACTTCCTCCTGTCTCTCATTGTCTCTTCTACTTCTTGTAAGTTCTCTTCTCCTTCATTTTGAATCCCACTTCCTTGTTTATTTTTAGTTTTGCACAGTCCTTAGGCTAGCTAGAATGGCAAAACACTTAAAAGAACTCCTTTCAACGAATCGAATTTCTAGTTTCCAACGCCATTATTCCATCCCCGATGACGTCCATCTGTCACTTGTGACAGACAGCACCATCGACATAGAGAAGACTGATGAAAGTACAATCATCTTTCCTCTCCTATTAATTGCTGAGGGTGGAGCCCGTTTTTTCCTTCACCCATTTTTAAGGGTCGTTCTTCACCACTGGGGTTTAATCCCTTCCCAACCTAATGTAAATTTTTTCTGAATCATAATGGGGATTATAGAGTTGAACCGACGCCTTAGGATTAACCTTGGTATACCTGCAATTTGGCATTGTTATGCCTTAGCCAAATCTTCTGGCCGGCAATGACGCTATTTTCTTAGGGCCAAGGATACCGACCATCACTTAGTGACTATGCTTGCCAGTTCTAGCAAGTGTGTTGACAATGTAATGGTCGTTGTCCGAGGCAACTGGGAATTCGACGAGGGTGAAGATCGCTTGGATCCCGTGCCAAGACGAAGAGGCGAACCAGGTGGCTGTATAGCTCC